GATTTTACCACAGATGGACCTCTCGTTATAAGGCAAAAGGAATAAAACCATGAATTCTAATAGCAGAGAGTTGTAAACATGGGTATTTATTTATTTGTTTGTTTGTTTGTTTGTTTATTCCATTTATACCCCGCCTATCTGGTCAATTTTGACAACTCTAGGCGGCTTACACCACAAAGAGCATAATACAGGAACAAACTGTATTATGGACTACAGCTCTCAGTATTCCCCAGCCATGCTACCTGGAGCATACGTTATAGTTCCAAAAAGGAACTTTTTCATGATCTGGTTGATATGCTGTACAGCACTGATGGAAAATTAGCCTTGCTATTCCTTTGCTTGAATCTGAATGGATTTCATTAGAGCAGGACTGGAGAACTCTCATATAACTCTGCTTCTCGTCAAATTTAGTTGTCTTCCCCCAGCTCCCAACCCCATACAAAGGGCTCCTCATCTCTCTGTCAATAGTCTTATCTAGCTATATGTCTAGCATAATCAGCGTGCTGCATTTTCCTTTTGCCACCAGAATAGGTAAAGCCTTTTAGCAGAGAGTCAGTCAACCAGTGCTGTGGTTAACAAACTGTGGACATGCTCAAAGCACACACGCACTAAATACCAACTCTTCCTGGCAGGCCTTCAAATGCATTCTACAGAAGCAACACAAGAACTGTACAAAGTAAGGATGTCTCCATTATTGGCAGTACCTTGCCCACAACAGTTTGCTTCTTTAGGGCATTGAGTGAAATACATATTCCATATACAGTGTGATGTCTGAATCTTACTTCATCAGATGAGTGAAATACATATTCCATATACAGAGTCAGTGTGATGTCTGAATCTTACTTCATCAGGGGGATCTTCCTCCCTGAAACTTGAGAAACAGACAAGAAGCTTAGAACGGGGTTGGAGATCATGCAGCCCATGGGCTACATACAACTTGTGCTGCAGAGGTTAGTTCCTATATATTTCTAGGCCTCTCCTTTCACCCTAGCAGTGGAGGGAAAAAAAGTCACCAAGCACTAAAAATCATGCTTCCAAGGCCACTGCTCAATGTAATGGCTATTTGTTCCTCTTGCATCTCAAAGAAAACCTCAGACACTTCTGGTGTTGAAAAAACGGGTAGATGCAACTCGCAGCAATCTGGAGTGTTGGACTATGGGGAGCCCATAGCTACTGCATGGGTTACCATTCCTAGCTTAGGAAGTGCAGAAAAAGTTCCATTGCACCTACAGACTTGTTCTTCAGTGCTTCACCCCAGTGCTTCCAATGTCTGCCATCTGAAGCACTGGTTCACTTTGCCTAATGGTTAGCTCTCTCAATGTCAATCATTACATTCTTCTTCACAAAGACTTATTCACAGTAAGACTTTCAGTGACCCTTTGTCCAGCACTGTAACAAAATTGGAAGTGATGATGAAGCAAATATCTCTCACAACCCAATTAGCCTCAGATAGTCAGAAATTAGCAGTGAGAAGTGACATGTTCCTGTCTGCATGTTGCACACCTCACACTGGTTATAAGGTCCATCATGCATAACATGAAGCCTGCTAAAGCATAGGGAACACTTACAAAACTGCCCTTTTGCTCTGTGTCTAGGTAATAACTGGTGCATATAATTGGAAGCAGAAGATGAAGAAGCTCGGTTCTCTGTGCAAAAACAAGACCAGGAGAGGATTGTGGCACTGATCAATAGAGTGAATTCAAGCTATAAAGACTGAATCTGTCAAAGTCCTGACAAGAGTACGCCAACAAATATGGCAAACAAAACTATGGCCCACACACTTGAAAATTTCAGTATGAATTTAAATCCCAAAGACAGAAGATGCTGAATAATGTAGAAAGCATACAACCATCACATTAACATTCCATGGAAGCAAAATGGTGCTCAAGATTTTACAGCAAATATGGAGTGAGAAATGCCTTATATTCAAGCTGCATACAGAAAAAGAAGTAGAAGAGGTAGCATTAGAAATCATATATCAAATATATCTTGAGCTCTGGAATGTGTCAAAGAATTTCAGAAGAAAACCAGTTTGTACGTTATAGAGTACAGTAAAGCTGGTGACTGTGCAGATCATGAAAAGCTATGACTTGTGAAAGAAACACTTGTGCCACCACAGTACCAGACTGTGGTGCTGTGTAACCTGAACTCGGGACAGAATATGGAGAAACCAAATGCTTCCTGATTGTTAAAGGGTCTGTTTTATATTCATATCTGTTCAATTTATATGTAAAACATATCCTATGAAAAGCTGGGTTAGATTCACATTTATTTATTTATTTATTTATTTATTTATTTATACCCCGCCTGTCTGGCCCACCGGACCACTCTAGGCGGCTTCCAAATATAAAATCAAATAATAAAACATAGACAAATACATAATAATCAAACAAGAACAGCAGTAAAGATAAAAAGGAAAAGTAAGAAAAAAATCAAGAGTTGGCTGGAGGGAAGGCCTGAATAAACAGCCATGTTTT